AAGAAACCAGTTCCACTTCTTTACATCACGGATCATTTGTTTGGGATAGGGGAGTGTGACATTATCATCACAAGCATAACTGGTAATTCCAAGTACCGTAATGTATAAAGAAGAAAATTTAACAAGAAATATGCATACACATATACAATGCCCCAAATCGAGAAGTTAGCCGCTATGAATGAATTAAGTTACAGGTGAAAGAACTCAAAATCTGTTATACACCACATATACAAGGTAGCAATTTTAATGTACAAATATTGCCTACAAAAGCTAAATTGAACACAATAAAGTAACACTTCAATGGCCTAGGAAGTAACCTCAAATTCTTCATTACAACATCCTCAACCTTTTGATAACAGACATTTTACCAATTTCAGATAGTAACACCAAAGATTCTCAAAACAGTACCAATTCACAAAATTCAAGATTTCATATTTCTTTCATTTTTACTTAATTTATCAGCAAACAAAAAGAATCACTAAAACTGTACCTGAAAGTAATTGCAACCTACAAATTGAAGTCATTTAATCACTCTCATGAACACTAACAGCTCATCTCAAACAAGGAAAAAGGAAAAGAAACACAAAAAGCCACCCAAAGATCTCAAGATAAGATTTTTCTCTTCATTTGTTCAATTTTCACGGCAAACAAACAAGACCATGAAGCAATTTAGAGCCAAACCTTTGACAGGGTCAATGCCTGAGACATCAAGACCTTCCAATTCAGACCCACTTTGCAAACCCTCAGCCAACTCACTCACACTCTCCAAAACCCTGTTCTCTCTCTCTTCCACCTCAACATTTCTCACTCTGAACCAAACGGGTCTATTCCCAGACACGCAGAACCAATCACCGGCCGCCACCTCACCCTTCTCCGACCTCCTGAAAACCCTAACTCCCCCATCCTTTTGGCTCCGGACCCATATGGGATTCTTCCCTAGAACCTCAAATGAAACGCTGGGTTCTGTTTGGTTCGCGCTTTTGTGTTCAAATTCGAACAAAACGTGACGACGAGACACTGTACGGTCGTTGGTGCTGAACCCATTTCCTCTTCCAAACACAGCCTTATGACCCTTCTCTAGTATGAGTTTCGAATGGTCTTCTACTTCAATTTCCATTGCCATGGAGTAGGAGGAACTTTGAACTGTAGTTACCTCTGCCTTTGTCTAGTTTGTCCCCACGTGTTAAGCACGTGAGTATTAAAGCAATTTATTTTTCTTTTTAAAGGTCATGAGCCAAATTTCATTTAAGCACATTGGTATAAAGTGTAATTGATTCTTCCACATATCATATCTACGTGAGATATTATTTTTTGGATTAACGAAAACTCCATAATTCACTCTCTTATTTATATAAACTTCAAATACGTACAATCATTCAAAAATGCCCAAACTTTATGTTTCATATAAATATTTTTTTTGTTTGGCACTTGTTGTAAAGGTTCAAATATGTGTTCGAGTTTATAACTCTATCTCATCATTCTTTCATCATTTATTTATCTGTTAAATATTCGGGTGAGACGCCATACTATTAATTTGGAAGTAGTCGACTCATTACATTTTAATTGAAATATTCGTACTTTCTCGATATTTGAGAAATGAGGTATTCGAACTTGGATATCTTCCATCATTATAGAGGAGAAACATCACTAGACTAAATAGTTAATGGGCTGCAAGATTGGTGTTTGGGGGCTCTCCTTTTTTAATATGAAATTTGGGCTTTCTTTCTGTTTCTTTGCTTTTTTATATCTCTCGTAGGTCAACCATATACAAGAAGACGAACCATATACGTGGGCATATATAACACGACACGGAATGTTAATTGTCGTTTGCTATAACTCAAAACAAATGACATAGCACGACTCCGCAATTCTCACCGTTGGATGGTCTTCGCCAGAGTACGACACCATCTCACTCAAATCTCAGAAGAGAACGGGAAAACGACTCTGGTTTCATACTCATACTCCAAGGTTCTTTGAACCTAGACGACACCTTCGTCGTCGTCGTTTTCTGGGTTTCATCGTCCTCGTCCAAGACTTCCATGATTTCTGATCCTTTTAGCAAACCCTAGTTTCGGTACACAACTAATTTAAGGTCAGTATATTCTGTGCTTGAATTTGTATGCGTAATTTTCTTTGGTTTCCGTTTGTTTCCTGGGAAAATGTTGGAAAATAAATAAAATTTTCAAAATTGCGAAGTTTCAATTTTTTTTTTCATGAAAAGTAAGAAGGTTTTGCCCTATTTTGGCTAGAAAATAATTGGGTTGTTGAGTTTGACGTCACTGGTAATCTGGGTATATTTTTCTATTATGGTTTAGATTTTCAGTTTTCTATTTTTCTTTTTCAAAATTTTAGAATTCATTAAAGGCATGAGCTTGGATGCTTTGAAAGTGATACCCTGGTTGCTTTAATAAAATACTTGTAGCTTAAAACATTTTTAAATGAAAGTTCTATTACATTTGGTGTCTCCAGAGGAACAAATTTATCAAAGCTTTCTTTTTTGTTTTCCAGTAAATGGGGTTTCAATTTTCAAGCAAAGTCAACTTCAAACTTATCTATAGTTTATTTGCAATTGTATTTTATGCACACAACAGAGTTTTATTATTGGCATAATTTATGGGGCTAGAGTTTAATGTTTCCCTTTCCTGAGTTTAGGATTATTTAAGCTAGTGACTCAAATGGAGATGGAGTCGCATATAAATCCTGGACCAATTTATAAGTCTGTACTTTATGATCAAGATAATCATATCTCTTCAGCAATTTGGAATGGACAGGTTAGACAAGAACTTTTCTCCTTCATCCTTTTTAGAACTTGGTTTTCCGCCCATAATTTGACTGATTATGTGTACTGATATCTCAATCAAAATGTATAGGAGCGTGGTGTTCTTAGATGTCATGAACACACTTCAATGCTCGAACAATGGAGACTCACGCCTAAACAGGCTGAGTTGGTTGAGATGGCCGGATTTAGCTACTTTAGATCGATACCAACAATTGTTCTTGACAATTCACTCATCTCGGCACTTGTTGAGAGGTGGAGGAGAGAAACAAATACATTTCATTTGCCTGTTGGAGAAATGACTGTAACTCTTGAAGATGTTGCACTTATACTTGGGCTACCAATTGATGGAAATCCTGTTATAGGTGTACCAGTGAAGACGCCTCACTCAGTATGTGAAGACTTACTCGGGAAAGCGCCGAAGGACCTAAATGGAGGAATGTTGAAGCTAAATTGGTTGAGAGAGTGCTTTTCTAGATGTCCTGATGATGCACCAGTTGAAGAGATTGAGCGCCACACACGTGCTTACCTCCTATATCTTGTGGGTTGCACAATATTTTCCACAACTACTGGGAATAAAGTATCTGTTACATTTCTTCCATTGTTTGAAAAGTTTGATGAAGCTGGAAAATATGCATGGGGTGCAGCAGCATTGGCATTCCTCTATAGAGCTCTTGGTAATGCCTCCCTTAAATCTCAAGGCACAATCAGTGGCTCTTTGACACTACTGCAGGTAACATTAGCATGCTGTTTCTGTTTATTATTTATTTGGGTCCTCCGTCTCTGGATGAATGGCTTCCCAATGATGCGTTGACTCTCATTAGTTGTTATTCTTTGTAGTGTTGGAGTTATTATCACCTGAATATTGGCCAACCAAAGTTCAATGAAGAGCCAAACCATAGTTATTTTCCATTTGCTCTTAGGTGGAAAGGAAGATCAACGGGATCAAGATCGAAAACCAACATTGTTGCCTACCGCAAGGCCTTGGATTCACTTCAACCTTCTGATGTAAGTCCAAATACATGTTTCTAGGTTTATATGATATAATTTTGCTTGGATGATGATGAGAACAGTTGGTATGGTATTGACATTCAGGTTAAGTGGTTTCCATACAAAGATTTTGATTACACAGTTATACCCGAAGATATAAAAAATAAGATGATTTTACGGACATCAAAAACTATGTTGATATGCTTTGGAAAGGCAGAAAGACACCTCCCTGATCGTTGTCTTAGACAGTTTGGCATGCCTCAACCTATCCCAGAGGATGTCCAGATATGGGAGAGGAAGATTCCCGCAGTTGATCAGGGGGTAGACTTGTCAAAGGATATGGAGTCAGGGGGCAAAGGGAAAATGCGCTCAGAGATTAGGGAATGGTTGGAGCGTCGACTCCATATTCTGGAAGGTGAGGAAGGTGTTGACGAAAGCACGTACATGGAGTGGTACGAGAATATTACCCGTAAATTTGTGGGAAGGCCTGAATCTTTAGAATCTGAGTTTCAGAGAATAGTAAGTTTATGCTCTCTTTTTTCTTCAAAGTCAATAACGCTTAATAATAGTTAAAATTGTACTTAGTTATGTTTCACTTTTCTTTATCTTACAGGCTGCTGCTATGAGAGAAATTGCGAACATAGCTGATTCATTGTTAGTAGAACAGATGGAATCCCAAGATAGGAAGTTGCTTGATGAAATCAAGAGTACAGTGCATGTCTGTTTGACGGACGTTGTTGGGAATTCCAAAAATGGTAGGTGTAAGAATGCTGTCAAACGTAAGCGAGAGGGAGGATAATCCAGCTGGTGACTATGACTAAAGTAAGCGATGGAGCTCCTTACCGAGAATTTCAGGGCATGTTTGTTTTGTGAGTCTCATGGTGCAGCAGCTCCGGGTAGTCTGATGAAATATGCACTTTGGAATCTCTGTGACAAATGCATTTAGCTGTAAAGAAATGCTTTCTTTAGTGCAAGGTAAATGGACAATTATTTTATTGACAGAATTGTCAATCATAGTTTGTAAGGATTGTTCAATTATATGAATGAAACATTAGAAAATTTGCGGTTGGCAATTTATGATATTTTGCCAGATTATTATGTTTCTTTTCTTTTTTCATTCGAAGTCCATGAGATTTGAACAACTCAGTACCTCCTCCAACAAGTGGAGACTGTTCGAATTGGTAGTGCTAAATGCTTATTTGAAAGAAAGGAAAACGATAGAAAATCTTCCTTAAGTTGAAAGTTGTGTATAGAAATTATGAAAATAATGAAGACGAGATCCAAAAGGAATACAATAGTAAGAATTGTCGAAAAGCATGAGATTATGGGTCTTTAAAGTGCCTTGCGGACACACTGTTTTCTACAAGTTGTGTATAAAGGACCTGCAGTCCGTTTTATGTGCACCATTACAAAGAAAAAGAAAAATGGATTTCAGAGCAATCCCACTGTTCCTCACACTGCATGCTAAACGTTTTGGACAATCAAGCCACCATTCATTGAAACAAGTTTTGTTGTTGCAGGAGACTTCCAAGAGGCATTGTCCCAATAGCACGAATTGTGAAGGATTTACTACTCAATCTTTCAAGCTCTTCATGAGGCGCGATGATTCGAGCAACTGCTACCATACCTTAACCATATGAACAGTAGTGGTTACTTGCTGGCTTACTACCTGAATATAAGTAGAAGGCAAACTCCAATCCCTACCCACCTTCCACAGCCTCCAGTAGCTTTTCTTGATTAAACAAACGTTGGCTGTTGAACTAAGTGCACCTTGTGGGCATCATCGATATCCCCACACAAGAGAAACACCATTTTTTTCAGTTATGGCTCACTTGTTACTGTATCATTTAGCTCATCCTGCTATTAGAAAAAGATATACGTTCGAACCGCAAAGTCTTGCTTGATCTCAGCCACAAAAAATGTGCTTTTAGTAATGGTATGATGGATAGCCAGGACTTGTTTGGGGAACCTCATTGCAAAAGTTAAGACCCGTTGCCACCCAATCATGTAATTCCATACCTGGCATCTGTGCATTTCTCTTTTTGGAAAGAAATAAGATGAATACAAGCTATTGCCCAGTCACCCAGCCAGCATTAACAATGATTGTTCTCTTTAGTAATTCATAAGAGGTAGTGTCTACTCCTCAGGCTTCAAGTTGACCTCCTGCGGTGTCCCCATTTGGTGCCGAGCTCTCTTTTGGATGGCTGACTCATGGACCTGATCCTCAACCTCCTGCTTAATACAATCATGTTAATTTCAAGTGAAAGAAGTACAAAGGAACAAATGAACCTGACTCACCCTTGTTGAAAGCATGTGCTTCAGACCAGCAATAAGCTCCAAGAAATACTTGTAAGCAGCCTGGTGAGGCTCCTGCATGAAAACCTGGATTTTAGACCTCTATTAATAAAGAAGGATTGCAACCTGAATAATCCATCACCTGTAAGTCTGAAGGCAGGGGTAATCCTTCCACGACAGGAGCCTTTGGAACTTGGACAAGTTGGGTTCCACCTGCATCATCTGCTAACATCACACTCCAAGAAGGGGGATTGGAAATGCCCAAAGCCTCGAAGTTAACCTCAGAACTAATCCCAGGTGGAAAAGATGTTTGAGACGAAGAAGTGACACCAGTTGCAGACTGCAGATACAAAAGAAAAATAGAAACCTTAATATCAAAATCCCACTCGGGCACATGAACACATCACATTTGATATAATTATAAAATTGAGTGTGATGGATCTTGTATTGTAAACCAAGGGGGAAGCCTTGTGCATGTGAATCCAATTTGGTGCGGCTCAACTATTTCAATCCCACGCCATCATTTTTCATTACAATACAAGGATCTGGAAGCTAAAACCAACTCACCATTAATCCCAAGTCTGGTTCACCAACAACTACCAAATCTTTGTCAGCAGCATCAACAACACAAGGATCTACCTGTTAACAAATTGTCTCGAATTAATGAGATGTATTCGCACAGAAGCAATATACACAAAAGTAGGGAACCTTTTGGCTTTTGCAAACGTTTCTTGGTCTTCACTCAAACTTGTGCTGAATGCACATGTTCTAAGCAAGCATGGTGAACCACTTTGCAAAAGGGCCAAGTCAAGCCTCTCAATTCTCAAATGCAATAAATGTCTTTGATGATAAAGAACTTCACTTCTAAGAGTCCACATGCATTATGATAAACAATATGTGAATTTTCCTTTTCTCCCTGACAAAATAAAGAAAACCGTCCTGGAATAATACGTTTAAAATGGTTTTGATCTGTACCTTTGTCCTTCCTACAGCCTTCAATGAGTAGAATGAAGGAAATTCCAAATTAGGAGGCTCCAATAAAGCATAGACTCCTTCATTGTTATACCTCTTTTCATCCAACTGCACAATAGACAATCCAATTACTTAGGTCTACAACTCCTTCAGTTACTTGAAAATGAAAAAAATGCTAGTTTAATGGCCAGGGAAACAAAAAGAAATTAGGTTTAATCAGTAAACTAAAACATAATTGAAACTTGATCGTTGGAATGAAGCTACAAAATAAAGAAAAAGATGGACTGAGGAACCCTAACCTGTGGGTAATCTGAAGCACTAAACAGAGTGTACAGTTTTCCTGACTCTCCAACATGATCTAAACTGTACCCACTTAGCATGTCACCAAATTCATCTTGATCTGCCCTTACATCTGGGCCTTCATGTGATCTTATGATCAACTATAACAACAAAGAAAAGATATCAATCTTAGAATGACAACTCATGAAAGGAGCAAGTCATATTTTCCCAAAATGCAGCAAAAGTTTGAAACCTAACTGAAACATTTTGTGCACAGCTGCAGACACTATTGCCAAAAAACCAAAAAAGAAAAATTCAAAAGAGGTTCTAAGTAATTTTGAGTAATAATGACTTGCTTGCATGTATGTTACAATGTATGCATAATAGTACCTACCTAATAAAGAGAAATTAAACAGAGTCTAATCAATGTTGAGTAATAATGACTTGCTTGCGCATTACAATGTATGCATAATACCTACCTGATAATTGATCAATATGCACAAGTTATTTATCTTGATAAATTCAACGAACTGATCATAACAACCAGAAAATAAGCATACAACAAGAATGTCTCAATGCTACAGGGTGTAATTTTGTTAAAGAACTTGGTTCGATGATATGCCATTAAGATTCTAATATCCAATTAGGTGAATACATGGCATCACAATTTCAAATTATGATGACAGTGAGAAATACTAATCGCAGACAGAGACGTTTGTTCAAAATATATCAGCTGGAGTAAAGTGCAATATTCATAATATTACCTTTAAGTTGGATTGCTTTAGAAAATCCTCAGTGCATTCAGGACCCCACCAAAGACCCCGTTCTCGAAATGATTTTTCAACTAGACCATCCTCCTTTGATGGATCTGACCACAGCACATCAGTCAGTATTATATTTGGACCTTCATCTGGAGCATCTATAAGAGATCTTTGAACCTTAGATAAATCTTCTAAAGAACCTAGTTCCAGCCTTTCTTCCCTCTTTCTTTTAGACCTTCTCAAAGAGGTAGCACACATGCTCCGAAAAAGACCTCCATGAGTGGTATATACACAATTGGCTATGATCGAAGCCAGAGGGAGTTCCTTAAAGCAGTCAAGGCATTTATTGTAGACATATTCACCTTGATTACCAAATTTGGTCTCAACCTCCACCTCAAACCCCAAAACGGATGTGCAATATTTAGACTCGTGGTTCCCACGAAGTAGATATACTCTACAAGGCATCAAGACCTATAAAAATAAAATAAAGTGAAAAACAAACTGAGAAAGAAATCATATTAAAGTCCCAAGAGTAAGTGCACCAAAATGCTACGCAATCCAAATCAACATACAATGCAATTCGCTTGAGGACCATATAACCAAAAACACAAAAATAAAATAGAATAAAAGCATTAGCATGCGACTTGGCCAGATGCGTGAACATATAAAAGGTCATATATAAATTCTTCTAAGTTTCTTTATCAGGTCAAGTCAGAGATTAACAAGAAGCCGTAAAGGGAACCAGTAGATTACAACTAGCACTATCTTCATGTTACCTTCCAAGCCAGCAAGACCAGAAACACATCCAAGCCCCGTGATCCTCTATCAACATAATTTCCATTAAAAACATAAAATTGCTTGTCAGAGGGAAAACCAGCATGTTCAAAGAGATTGAGTAAATCACGGAACTGTCCACGAATGTCACCAACTACAACAACTCTTGAATCCTCTCCATGGCAATCCACTGCCACACAATTCGGCTCCTTGCAGAGGATACTTGTAGCAGTATCAATCAATTTATCCACGACAGAAACTGACAGAACAGATTGAAAATCCAATGGTGACTGCTCAAGAGCAGACATCATTCCCTGAACCCACTCTAAGGTTATCCTGTCATCCAAAGGCCAGGAAAGAGAGTGCTGAAAGGTTGAGGACGACAATGATTTCTGCACCTCACCTTGACAATCTTCACTCTCAAACTCATCAGCTACTACCACGAGGCAGTCATCTTCAAACATCAAACCTTCTACTCTGCCAATCTGCTCCTCATGGCCGGTATCCATTGTCGCCTCAAAAACACTTCCTCCCAACTCATTCCAACCATCTTCATTCTTGGAAACCGCTTCCATCTCTGCATACTTATCTTCAACCATCGTCCTCTCAGCACCTAGCCCTCCAATCTGGACATGCCCATTGGACGTGTGCGTTACCCCATAAACAGGGCTTTCCATCAGCTCAGGCTGACCATCTTCATTTCTTAACTCAGCTTCTACCCCTCCACTCCACACATCCTTGTCACTTGTATAATCATCATCAGCCCCATCACCCTGTAACAATCATCAAATAAACCAACCAACCAAAAATTGAACAACAAGGTGGACCAACAAATCGCAAAATACAAACTTGACATGGTAGCTCATAAACATACATACCAGTTCACTAGGTTCACAACCCAGCATGGTTACAACTCTGGGACGTTTACTCACAATCCCCATTGCAATCTCCTTCATCCTCAAGACCTTTTCCACCTCTTCCTCACCCCCACCTGCACCCACCACACACCCAAACCAATCAATCAAACGACAAAACGACATAAACCCAAAAGAACCCACAAAACCATCGCTTACCATCTTCTCAATACTGGAAGACAAGGCCTTTTTTACGTCACCGGCGGTCACCTTCTCAACTCGATTGTTCACAACTCCGCGCGCGATTTCCCTCATCATCACCAGTGAATGCACTTGCTCGTCGTTTAGGTTCTCAAAACACATTGCGTTTATGCTCTCCATGATCTTCTTGCAGTCGCTTTTCATTCTCTCTTTTCGACGGTCCATGTCTACAACACCAAACATACATACAGCATTAGCTTGACGATCAAAATTATCAAAGCATACACTGATTTTCTTCGACTAAAATGGCATCAACACAGCTGCTAACCTTCGCCGGGCATATTCGAGTTCGAAATTCAGAGACTTCGTGATGGGATTTTGGTGAAGAGCTTAGTCTGGGAAATTGGTAAAATGCAGAGAGAGACCAGAGCGAGTTCCTCGTTCACTGAATCGAAATGCAGAAATCAAACGACTTTTGCCCTAAATCGTTTCGATGACTTTACTTTTAGGCAAGTAAGACAGACGACACAATTTTCCTGTCGTATATTGACGACCAAGGCCCAAGGCCCAAAAAACCAACACAAACTACCCAAGGATGGATCTAGGCCCAGAATCAGTTGTGGTGTGGTGTCCCTATTTTATTTCTGTGCTGTGATTATTAAATTATTATTATTATTATTTTGAACTGCCTGCGATGAGTTCTTTTTTTTTAAAAAATTAAATTTATTTTAGAATTAAAAAAGATAATGGGTAGTTGTGTTCCATAAAAATAGGATTCATTATCTGAATTTTCTTTTACTTTTAATTTTTTTTAATATGAAAAAGTGTGAATTTACCATATTATCCTCATTTAATTAATAATTTCAATTCTTAATGTTTGCATTAACCAAGGGCATTTTTTGGTATTTTGAATGTTTCACAATTCTCTACCTTTTGTTTTATATATAGAGATAACATGTTTTGTGATTATATCCTAAAATTGAAACTTCCTTGTAATCAAGCTTTGTTATCTTATTTTATTTATTTAGGGAATGTAGGAAGCGAGAGTCAAACTCTGACCTTATGTGTGAGATGTGTAAATTCATGGAGCTAAGCGCCTTTTTTTTTTTTCTTTTTCTTTTTGGGGCAAATTCCTTTAGGCTATGATTTATGTGTTTTGGATGTGTGTTTTTATCTGTATAAATGTTTTGGGTTTTTTTCTTTGGAATGTGTTGAGCATAAATTTCCATGACTCAACTTGCTAGAACATGAGTGAGATGTTTAGGTATAGGTATAGCACCATGTTAAAGCAATGGGCATGAGAAGGCAGGAGCTTATTAGCTGGATTGGTTCTTTTATGCTTACACTACTGTGGAAGCAAAGCCCTCTTGAAATATACCTTTCCCTATTGCATTGGCCGTGCTACCTTCCTCCTGCAAACGTATAAGTGCTTCCGAAGAAGCAATAGCGAATTCATGTATAACTCCTGGTAAAAAGATTGAAAAGATAGCTACCAGTAAGCTCACATATATATTGGTCACTGCATTTGTCTAATTTGTGCACTGGGACTCCAAATGTCTATGTACTTTCATGAAGTGCTCTTTTTCACTGTGCTAACACAAAATTTGGGGGAAGGAAACTGTAATAGACTGATTCATATGAACTTTATGTTGATAGTATTTTCCTGAGTCGGAAATACAAGTTTTACTTTAGTGGTTTATATGATATTTGGTTTATTTACTTATTGTCAATTGATTTTGAATTGGATGCTCGCATACCATATATAAATTTTTTGTAATAGATCTACTATTATATGGGTCCAACCATCCTTTGGTTTTCACAAAATTAATCTGGATGGATGAATCATTGGCCTGGTATTTTCATATCAATAGCAGATGGATGTAACCAAATATATATGCAATACTTACAGGCAAAAACTATATATTCAGTCTGTTTGTGAAAAATTGCTAGGCTGCAGCAGGATTTGTCACTTTACTTGGGACAGTTCATAGTTCCGAATACAACCTACCACTGTGTGCAGCTTCAACCAACCTTTGTTAGTCTGATTGGGGCCCTTTCAATGAAAGTCCTTTACCACTGACATTTTAACTGAACAAAGCTTCAATACCATGGCAGATTGCCCCCTCATTTTACTGTTTCAATAATATCAGCATCTATACATTTGGTTCATGTGCAATCAGAAGCTAACTATGTAGTGGATGCCTAGTTCATTTTAGGGCACACAGCATCCAAAGACAATGACTTCAACAACATAATTATCCTTTTGTTGTACTGAATATATATATGTATGTACTTAGTTGTAGCCTCCATAGAGAGTTTCTTGTGCAGACATCAAAGTAAATATGCTGCCAAGGGGACATGTGCCCACTAGAATCCAGGAAATTTCTAATTTGTATGGACCATATGCAAAAGATCATGATGAGGCCTCATTATTAGTTTAGGGGTGATGTGGTACTGTCCAAAGTTTGTCTCTCACTCATCCTGAAGATTGGTCCTAACCATTTGTCTTTCATCAGTTTTTAATAAAAGGGAAAACTACCTCTACATTTATTAGAGAAAAAACATCTCAACAACCAATAATAGATGATGATGGGCACTTTATATTTGAAATAAGATCATCAATTAAGGTACTCACATAAAAGTTAGAACTTTGTAAATAGAGTTAAGCAACAGTCAATCGTCTATGCGCACGTAAGTGATTTCTAACCGTACATTAATTTCTAGGAGTTATATTTGATCAATATTCAACAGTCACGCATGAATATGTCTAGAATCTTGACAAGAGTCAATAAAGTCATGTTTATGATCAACAACTGTCAACCCAGCTAACCTTTTGCAGCCTATATCTTTTGACACAACAAATATGGTACCAAGTGTGATCATACCGTTGAAGCTATGCTTTGGTTTATATAAGGTTGAATATATGGAGCTGTGGGAGTGGGAGAGAGAGCATCTCAACTGCATAAGAACGTGGCATGCGCACACTTTTAGCCCCAAACTGGGTCCACACGTACCTAAATCAAATTATGTGCAAGGAATCTATGGCTGGACGAACTAATTAAAATCCCATATTATTATTATTTTGCATTTTCAAATCAAATCAAGCATAATGGTGATGTTCCTCCATGCACAACTGGCATTTGTGCTCGAAGATTCTATAGTTGTGTAAAGTTGTAGCAACAAAGCAATCCCCTAGGAATACAACACCCTCCTAATCTTGCTTTGAAGATGCTGAAAATAATTACAGTTATCATGACATGAAATGAGATTATAGATAATTTCATTTTTCGGAAATATATATGTAACCCGACCCTTCTATTGAGAGTGCAAAATGTGTGATTTTATGTAGGTTTTGAATACTCGTAATGAAAACGGTCTTGTCATTTTGAAATGCACTTGCAAGATGTGGAAAAAGAATTTGCATTCTCATTTCTAAATGCCAAAACATTGCACTCTATCTAACACCAAACCCTATAAAGATTAAAGATTAGAAGGAAAAACGGAAGCTAATAAAAATCCCCCTCAAAATGGTTTTTGTTTTTTGTTTTATTTTGTATACAAGCGATATTCTAACTTACAACTCACACACACTCACACATTATAAATGTGTCATGAGAGTTCGAACTTAAAACTACATGTATCCAAGCCAATACTCTTTTTACTGAACTAGACTTCATTGGTTATCAAAATAATTTTAGATGTATTAAACCGTCCCTTTTTTCACTTTTTTAAAATTTAAATTTTTGCTTCCTTTTCCTTTCTCTTTTCTTTTCTCCTTGGCCCTTTGTAATATATATAAGTTATCCTCAAACTTGAAAACCTGTTGAACACAGGATAATACTGAATTAGGATCAGAGAGGTTTTGGACAACATCGAAACAGACACGATCTAGTAGATCTTCTCTGTCGTTTAACTATTTATCCTTTCAATCCAAGCACACAATAAAATATATTCTTTCTTCTTCTTACATTTTCCTTCGGTTTTTGGTTCTAATCTATTAGCCTTCAGATTCATTGTTGACACGAACACGATCTGAAATATGTTAACACGACCCATTGCCAGATCTACATACATATTCTTTTCATTTGTACATCAATATATTATATAGACGTAATCATTATTAATGAATGCTTGGATTGATAAGTTTAATTTAAAACATAAGCTACATGAAATTTGACTTCAATAGTATAAGTCGTCAACATCTAAGCTACCATTTTTAATTTTATTTTTATTGGAATGTATCTTGACATTCATCCAAGGCCGGCCTTCCTATTGCTCAAATAAATTATTACAGTTTTATTAACAAATTCATATTTAAATTTTATTGAATATGAAATATTAATGTTTTTTGTCACCAAGAAATCAAATTCAAATCCAAATCTTGTCTTCTAAAACTAACAAACCACACCCAACATTAGAGTATTTTAATAGGAATATGAATATTTTTATATTATAAATTCATAGTCCTTGCTTAGAATTCTACACATTGGTTAGATAAAAAAACCTTGTCTGAGTCTCATTTCAAATTTCCCCTTACAAGTTACATCTACCATGTAATGTGGTGGTGACCTTTGTCTCACCTGCCCTATTAGATTCTTACCAGTTTATCAAAAAAGAAACTTTACCCACAAATCAAAACTCACCCTTTAATCTTGCCACATTACAAGCAAAAAGTTCATTGATTGAGTGATTTGAGAAAAAAGAAAGGAAAAAATAAGAAAAAAAGAAAGAAACTTTGAAGACTTGCAGCTAAAAAACCAGTCCCATTACATCACTCACTGTTCTTCTTCCCCCCATAACTATAATCATGGCAATTTAAGACAAGTAAGCAAAAGTTCCTTAACCCCCTTCCTTCCCTCATCTCTCTCTCTCTCTCCCTCTAAAAATAACTCCTTTTGAACCGGTCCATTTATATCATCCATCTCTCTTTTCAATCTCAGCTCTTTATTATCACCCCACTTTTCCTCCCCCACTCTCTCTCTCTCTCTCTCTAGGGTTTTGATTTTGATTCTTGTACACAGACCCAGAACCCAAATCATCAATCTTTCAATCAATTAATCTCTGATAAGTGTCATGACTTCAACATCTGTGAAACCCAACTTGTTGCCTCCGGGCTTGGTCTCCAATCTACAAGATGTGTTGAGCAAAAGGGCTGGTGGTGAAGGAGACAAAACTGCTGAATCTACTGACCCTCCTTCTACTTCTGAAGCTGCTGATACTGTGGAGGACCCTAATGACAGTTCCAAGCCCATTGTTTTGGTCACCAATGGTGATGGGATTGAGTCCCCTGGCCTTACTTACCTCGTTGAAGCTCTGGTCCACCAAGGCCTTTACAATGTCCATGTCTGCGCTCCTCAATCGTGGGTTCTCTGTAAATTTTGGTTCTTTTCTTTGTTTCTCTGTGTTTTGTGCTATTTTTCTAATATGGGTATGTGGGGGTCTCTCAAGTTGTTAATTGTTTAGTGCATTTTGATGTTCCTCGCCTTAGTTTTCTCATGTGGGTAGGTAGGTTTTCTTCGATTATTGATGGTTTTTCCGTTTTGTTGCTTGCTTCCCTTAGTTTTTTCATCTGGGGATGTGGGATTCCTTCATTTGTAGTATTGGTAATGTATAATATTTTTCTTTAATTTGCAAAATTGGTTGCTTGCTTTAGGGACAAATCACTGTCAGGTCATTCTGTGACCCTCCGGGAAACGGTTTCTGTGAGTTCTGCTGAGATAAAGGGTGCCACAGCTTATGAAGTTTCAGGTATGACTATGTTTCTGCATTCGTTTCCCTATTTTCTTGTCTTTTTTTCCCTGAGTTGTTGCAATTGCAGTTTCCTGATTTAGCATGTGGAATGGATGAACTTTTATTTTTATTTTTTTGGTGGAATTGAGGTGTCATTTGTTGCATATCGATTCTTTTTTTGGTTAGAGCTTATAAATTTGGTACTTGTGACGTGGTTTCTATCATTACGTAGTTTCAGTGTGCAAGAAATGATTGTGCCTGGGGCAGCATTTAGCAATTCTGTTCATTGCTTTTATTTCATGTTAGTTCAATTGACATGCTACAAATATATGCCTGCAGAGTTTTGATTTGTTTTTTCTTTCTGCTTTTGCATTTTGGTTGTGGACACTGATAGTAATAGGTTTTGTGACGTTCTTTTATTCAGGGACTCCCGTGGATTGTGTTTCATTAGCATTATCTGGGGCTCTGTTTTCTTGGTCAAAGCCTTTGCTGGTTAGCATTAACATGCCATTTTCGAGACACATATAGATCCTGTGTTCAGCCTTTTACTGAGATTTCTAAGTGCAATCTGGTTTCAGGTAATCAGTGGAATCAACCGGGGATCAAGCTGCGGTCATCATATGTAAGTTTTAGTTTATATGCCTCTATAGTATTCCTGATGTCTTTGATTCTGGTATTCAATATGTCAAGTTTCTTTTGGTACATAATTTTTTCTAGTGATGTATTTTTCTTCTTCTGACTCTGTTATCTTTTCTCCCCCTGCTAACAACGTATATCTTGTATTTGGATTCTAATGTTTGTTTCAAATGTTAACTTTTACCAGGTTGTACTCGGGTGTTGTTGCTGGAGCCAGGGAAGCATTAATAAGTGGAATACCATCTTTGTCAATATCACTAAATTGGTGAGTTTACAAACCCTGCAATTTGATTCTGAGTTTCTTTTTGCATACTAATGTCTGTACGTTAATCTTTGGTGTTATAATCCATTGTAGGAGGAAGGATGAAAGTCAAGAAAATGATTTCAAAGATGCAGTTGCTGTCTGTTTACCTTTGATAAATGCAGCTATCAGGGATATTGAAAAGGGAATTTTCCCCAAAAGTTGCTTCCTCGATATAGAGATTCCATCATCTCCTTTGTCAAACAAGGTTTGTGTTTTTGAACCATTATAATATCATTTGTTTATGAAAATGATCACTGATGGTCTCAAGTACTCTAGGAATTTTCATTAAGTAATACAATACTTTCAACTTAAATGGTGTGCTCTTATATAGTTTAGTTTATTTATCGGGTGATGGTATTTTATGGGTGATACACAAGTAGATTGCAATTGGCAAAACCTTCAATGGAACTAATGTAAAGCTGTGATTTTGAGGAAACTCAACTGTTTTGCTTGGCCTCTTTCTAGTTATTTTGGTGTAACTGTCCATGTGTTGATTGTCTTCCAGTTCCGCACTACTTTGACATTGATTTTTATTACCACTTAACTTAAGTAATGTTGCAATTCCATGTGTAGCAATCTTTACATTATTGAAATCTACTCAAAACTCCTAAAGCTCTTTAAGAAGTACTTTCTGTGTTTCTTCAATTTTTTTATGTTCACTAAATATATTCTTATTTGATTGAGGTATGTGTGTGAAAGAAATGCACATATTTGACTAGTTTGTGTTGCATCAGATCTTAGTTACTTATATTCTGTTTGTGTTCTAACTCCTAATTGAACAGTATAAAACTATAAGCAAACCTGAAGGAGAAGGGACATTGTTGTCCCATGCCAGGACATCGTTGTCCCATGCCAGGACATCGTAGTTGGATTACCTTAACATTGCATCTAATGAGAGGCAATGAGCTCCTTCTCTTTTGTTGTTCAAAGTAATTCTGTTTTAATTTTTTAACCACTTACTGTGGCCGTTAATATGAGGTCATGATTTCGACATCTTTTGGATGTCCTTTGTATGTTATCTCCTACTTATGTTTACAGTATTTTCTTCTACTTGATAGGGTTTTAAGTTGACCAAGCAAAGCATGTGGAGATCAACTCCTAGCTGGCAAGCCATTTCAGCTACTCGGTATCCTGCTGGACATTTCATGAACAGTCAACAAAGCCTTGGAATTCAGCTTGCTCAGCTTGGTCGGGATGCTTCTGCTGCCGTAAGTAGCTAGCTCTACTAAAGTGACAGCTTTTTTTGTTTTTATGTTAAAATTTTCTGATTAATGTTTTCTGAATAGAGGGATTACTCTCCCTACTTTGGTTTTCATTCTTGGATTTTTGTATCCCTTTTCTTTTCATCAGGGTGCAGCTCGTCGCGTGACGACACAGAGGAAGAATGTGGAGATTGAATCAACTGGAGCTGTGGGAAAATCTGACTTTGAACGGGTGAAAAAATACTTCCGACTAGAGGTAAACAAATTTCTGGCACGTAAGCATATATGAGGGATAATAAGGGTCTGAAAAGGAAAATTTGAATCTATAGTTTCATTAGGCTTTCTTATAATTTTCAAGTCTTTTTTCCATTTGTTTAAACGTCTCTGTGGAAGCAGGTGGCATTTGCTTCCTCTAGGAAACCTCTGAAATGAAATTAATTTAGAATAGTTATCCCACGGGAGCCTTTTAACATTGTAAAGTGGCTGGTTTAGGATAGCATAAATTTATTTTCCTCAAGTTGCTTCTAGCACTTACGATTAGAATTTTACCTTTTGCTATAAATAAAAGGGAGTTTCACTAAAACACCCAAAATAGAGGTTGAAATTATAAAAAAACCCAACACTCAAAACACTTTAGGTTAATCTTAATTTGTGTACTCTTTTCTGTTCCCATGTACTGATATTTTTACTACTTCCGTTTATAAAATAACTAATCCAAGTGGATTTATATTTATCTATGCAGTTTGTGGATAAGGAGAAGGAAGATACGGATGAGGATCTGGATTTCAGAGCACTTGAAAGTGGATTTGTAAGTTGAAAGTGCCATTTCTCCTCTCTATGTTTATTTCTGGAGGAATTAAATTGTTTAAGTCTACTTTCTGTTGAAGTTCAATCTGATCATTTCTGGTCCTCTTTGGACCCCATGTGTTATTGTAAGATGATCCTGTTGTAAAATCGGCTTGCATCTGATATTTATTGTCAAGAAATAATAGAAAGTGCCGTAGGAGGGGCTCCATGCCATTAAATGGTTTCAGTAGAGGTCCCTTTTTATGGTTGAATGCTCATTGTCTTTTGTGTAAGTTGAAGCGCTACCTACCGTTGTAGGGTATTTACTAAAGATTTGAAATAGGTAGTCTTTGAAGACCCAACTATCGAACTATAGATGAATGTCAATGTTTGTCTTAGACAGAAACATATTTAGTTTGTTCACAAGGTGGCTGACTCTTTCTTCTAATTTGAACCAACAGGTCTCGGTAACGCCTCTCTCTCTTTCACCACATCTTGAGTCAGAAACTCAAACAGCTGCCTCCAATTGGATCTCTTCAGCACTTGAAGAGCAATAAGCCTTTCTCAGCTCCAACATGATTTTGTGTACATCTGGAGTTCCAATACCTCTTTTTTTTTTTTTGGGTCTGCAGTTCTGATATTTATTCACCTATTTAACAGTTGATCATGATTTCTAGTGTCCTTTTCTATAATTTAATTTATGTAGCCTCCACGTTGATAGTTTTGGTTTATTTTGTCATGGAGCAAATGCTTCTTGTAATCCTATGGCATGTTTTTGAAATGCCAGTTTGTCTTCATTTTCTTCTTCTATGCACCAGCATTAACACTGCAGGTTGTATTGTAATTGGATGTGGTTATACTCTTTACTTTGTTATAGGATGACTACTTGTTGGGTTGTGTTTGGTAGAAAGTTTTTATCCTTTCCTGTTATACCGTCTGCAAACTGGGGAAATGACAGTAGTTTCAGACGAATGGTCTGGAGCTGTAAGCCATAAGTTAATAATCGTCATACTCTGATAAATCCATGTGAGCAAGGGGGCTTGTTTTTCAAATATCGCTTGTGAAAAAAATGATAAAACAAGGGAATAAAAAATTCGGTTAAAGAAGCAATTCTGTACGGAGGGATAGAATATAATGTGTCTAAATTTAGAGAAAGGAAAAGCATACCAAAGAAAGGAAAGTGAAAGGACAAGAAAATTATAAATTAAAAAAAAAAAAAAAATCCCATAATGAGCACATTGTTTAGGAGAAATTATTGTATGATACTGGAGTACGACCACGTGGTATGAGTGAGGTGGAAAGTGTATCTCCAACTAGTAATTACTTTACACAAGAAGATGAGAGAATCAGTAATGAGTAATGTCTTGTTGCTTCTTCTGATGTTTTTGAGAAAGTGAAATAACAAAATAAAGGAGAAAGAGGTCACAAAACCAAGCCAAACGTTAAAACTTTCTTGAGCGTAACTGGACATAAAAGAACAACAGAGAAACCAATGTAGAAGTGCATATTCTAACGAAGACATTACTTTAGGGAAATCAAATCAGCTAAACATAATTAACATTCTTTCTACTCCCTCAGCAAGACTAAACTTTCGACATAAGTATGCGCAAGATAGTTCGTTGCTCATTCTAATGGCCAAAGGGTAAGAGCTCCACTTTCCAGGAAGGTAAACAGTCAGCAACTTCTTGAAAGACTTTTCTTGGAGAACCCACATGTCAATGTAGTCATTACCAGCTCTGAAATCTAGATTGGACTGCAACAGGCAAATTGATCCCTTGTACTCCGAAATTAATACCTTGCAATAATATGGCATCGGTTCAACAGCATCTGGTAGCAGAAGCTCTTCAAACACCTCACTGTCCCGACACTGTCGGTATCGAAAGACAATAAACAATGAGTAGCATCCTTTTCCTTGCGCATAATCCAATATGCTACTCCATTAAAAAAATGCACATTGATGAGAGTGCAACACCAGGGTCTTTATGGAAGCAGGAATTGCACCAATCCTCTTCCAAGAGTTTGTGCTCAAACTATAATCCTCCACTTCAATGCAGTGGTTCCCCACAAAAAAATGAGAGCAACCTTACCACCTTGTAGTCGTTAAGCCCGGGGTGGAACCCGAATGCAACAACAGTGGCGTATTCAGGCCAGGGGAAGCACAGAATGCTGGTGGGAGGAAGGACCACATGTTTCTGAATTGATAGGTTGCATAGGTATATAGCAGTATCCAAATTCCCCAGTTCATATGACAGACAAACTAAGCCATTACTTGAACCATATAGGTCAATTTCGGGCCCTGTTAAGAGATGTTTAATCTTCAAGCACGGCTCAAATGTTTCATTAGAGAAAAGGGTGTAGCAAATTTTGGATTCGCATCTACTTTCGTGGAGGGCAATTATAAAAGCATGAGCATGGTTTGTGACATTCCTATTAAGATGCATTCCAATAAACCTCGAGCTTCGAATCAAAGAACTCCATAACTTGCATACACAAATAAACCGAATAAGAGATTTTACCCGTAGTCTTGATAATAAGTTGATCAAGATTTCTTCAGGAATGTAATGGGAACCATTGCAGCCTGAGTTACTCATCCTGATTAAACAGATCAAAATGAGAGAGGTTAGAAAGGATGTTTGCTCCTACAAAATTATATTGTTCTGTAAGCGTTAAGCTTAAATTCAAAAAACCACTTTGAGGACAACACACGCACACAAAGATGATTACGTCACAATAAGACTGCATGAGTGAGTGCATATTTATAGCGTTGGCAAGGAGTCCTATTGTAATTGAGATTTGTGTCCTATTATAATTTAGATTTATTTCCTATATTATTTAGAGTTAGCACATCTTTGTACTTGTTTATAAATATCTCCATATTTTCTGTTAGTATGAAAATTGTATTGTCATTTCCTAGACTTTAGTATAGGTTGAAAATTAGTTGTGAGGAATTGCGACTGGACGTTTTGGCACTACTCTTTCAACCCCATATATCCGAGGCATGACTTGACCGATATGAGAAACTTGACTTCAGGTAAATCATGACATAATCATGCATTCATGATAGGACTTATAGTTGAAGTTCTTTTTAGAGTCTTTGTGTTTGAAGTTAAAATATGAGCAGATTCCTAAGTGTTGTGCACTATGCGTATCTTCCAATTATCTTACTTTAAGAGTCAATTGGTTCCCTATTAAAAGTGGACGTTTGTTAAATTCATTAAGAGTCCATAATGAATCAGACTTTGTATTTTCATTGAATCAGAATTTATTGGATAATTGGTTGGCTCTTGTGTGGCGTCTCTTTAAGGAATTCATATTGCATCAGGTTTAAGAAGGCTTAGCTGATTTGGTCTTAGAGTCATACTTGCTTTGGAAGTGTAGTCTCGCAAGTTTCTCTCTTGTGAGAGAAACTTGCTTTGAATAAATGGATGTTTGTTTCCTTTCATTAGTAGCTTTTCAACGCATTAATTTTGAGAGCATATTGAATCTGTTTTTTGGAAAAGCTGCTGCACTTATTTCACTTGGTAAGTCATTAGGGTTTCTGTGACTTGGTGATTTATCGAATTCATTCATCATTCATATTGCATTCATATGCATGTCGGTGACTCATACGGTTGAGGGCACCAAGACCGTGGTGGCGGTTTTCCTCCAGTGAGCTTGAAGCAATCGTGGCCAGTATTGCGTTCAACATAAGGAGTGTCTAAGATCATCCCGTGATAGAAGTTGAGTTATGAAGAAGTCGATAAACATTATCTAGAATGTGTCTAGGATAAGTGTGTGAGTACTTCTTGTAATCATCGTTCTATAGTGGATTTGTGTTGGACTAAGAAGTCCCGTGGATTTTCCCCAGAGGTGGGGTTTTACCACGTAAAATAATTCTCTGTGTGTTCTTTTATTTTAAGCTCTGCACATTACAGGATTGATAAGCCATATCAATCCTGCTTCAAAAGTTGATTATTATTTATTGCAAAAAATTCGAATTAGCTTGCTTAACCTTCTCTAGGCAAATATAGACATCCTGCAGGTATTTTCATTTTCTCTCCTTTTTTTTTTTTTTTTTAAAACCTCCATATTGGAGAAGAATATAAAAATATGAGATATCTAACAAATCTGAAATATATGAAAATTAGTATATTTAACATGGTATCCGAGCCTTTTCTTATGATGTGTGTTTGCGTTCTCCTTGCAATTGAAGTGTTGTCCCCTCCCCTTCTCTTTAGGGGGAGGGGGAGTGAAAAATGATATGTTTCTCATTTGCACACCTTAAATACTCTCAAATGCGTTGATTGCCCCATTACCTTGACATTCATAGATATTCCTTGCAAAAAATCAGACAAATTGAAAATTATTAAGACATATAATTGAGACCACTAAATCAATGAACACGGTACTTCAAGAAAGTACTTAAATTTCAATAATTTAATTGCATGATCAAATGATATCATATTCAAGTGATTTTTTTTGTAAAGATAATCTTTGAATGAATATCTACAAAATAAACGGTTTGGATTAGTGAAATACAAGGCGGAGTGGGTCATACAAGAGTGTCTCTCAAATAAGTTTATTTGAGGGATCCCTCATCGAAAGCTCTCTGTATATATATATATATATTGTGTAATTGAAATTTTAGTACTTTCTTAAAGCACCGTGTTCATTGATTTTGTAGGATACAATTGGATGTCCAAACAGTTTCCGATTTGTCTAATTTTTTGTAAGGATGATCTATGAATGTAGACTTAAAAAATATATGGTTGGATCGTTGAAAAAAAAATTGTAGGGTACCCTAAAGAGTATCCTTTCAAATAAAATTATTTGAGAGATCCACACACATGTAACTATTACTTTTTATTTATTTATTATTTTGTATATCTTAGTTTTTACATTTTAGAAATACGAAACATAAAATGGGTCTAGTTGTGTCATAAGGAAATAGGACCCATGCTCTAATTTTAATTTAATTTAATTTATTTAATGAAAAATTATAATTTATTATTATTCTCATTTAACGAATAGTTTTATTTTCAAACTAAGAGTATTTTATGATATTATAAATATTTCACTATTCATTTGTCTTTATCTATTCCAAACGTAAGCAAGCCAACATACATTTCAATTGGGCTACTAATTAAGTAGATTATGTGTTTTAGTTTATTTTGTCCTTTGAAGGGACTTGCTAAAAAAATTTGTAACGTACGTTCACACTAGTATGTTTATATACTTCTTTTTTTTTTGGTCTGAACCACAAGGTGGTCCTGGATGGGATCCAATTATGGGTGGCACCTTTAAGCCTTAACCACAACCCAGACTAATCCCCGCTCACACCGGGTCGGCCCGTAAGGAGTAAAGTGCTGGCCAAAGTGGTGACTCCATACGAGAGCAGGGATCGAACCCCTGACCTCTCTTAAGGAATGAGTGCCGAACCACTCACACCAACCACCTTGGTTGTATGTTTATATACTTTCACTAAACCCTAAATGCTCATAAGGTCGAATATTATAGGCATTTACAGCTAAAGGATTTAGCCTCCCTACAAAACAGCAATAGGGGCAGAACGCCAAATCAAATCCTCTGCAGTCCTGTAATTTAAGCATTGTCCATTATAAAAGGCAACATCCAAGTATTCCATCCACGAAGAACAAAAACAGATGCAACATTTTTGAGCAACAAATGATGTAAAGTAGGAAATGATCCACTAATGTAGTGATTTTGAGTAATTGCTCTCTCAGGCAAGGTCCTGGATTTGAGTCCTAATATCTATGTTGTGTGTGTGAGTTCAGTATGTTATCGCCATTTTCAATTAGAAAGGTCCTCAATATTATGTAATATAAATAAAACATACCACGCAAAAGAAAGAGGAAGGACAAGATAGAGGAAAAAGAAAACACATATTGACATTGAGCATATAATTTAGACTACTGCATTTGTCAAAAAACCAACCGAGACATTAAATCTTTCTCACAAAGTAACTGGACATAAAAGAACAACAGAGAAACCAATGTAGAAGTGCATCTTCTAACGAAGACATTACTTTCGGGAAATCAAATCAGCTAAACATAATTAACATTCTTTGTAAGTCGTCCCTTTCTCTACTCCCTCAGCAAGACTAAACTTTCGACGTAAGTACGCGCATGATAGTCGTTATAGCGATCCACAGCCAACTTAATTCCAGTTTCTGTAACCTGCTTGGTTTCAAGATTATAAGAACACAAATAGCTACCACAAGGATATCCCACGAGGAGTTCGTTGCTCATTGTAATGGCCAAAGGGTAAAAGCTCCTCTTTCCAGGAAGGTAAACAGTCAGCAACTTCTTGAAAGACTTTTCTTGGAGAACCCACATGTCAATGTAGTCATTACCAGCTCTGAAATCTAGATTGGACTGCAACAGGCAAATTGATCCCTTGTACTCCGCAATTAATTCCTTGCAATTATCAAGCATGGATTCAATTCCATCGACAACAGCATCTGGTAGCAGAAACTCTTCAAACACCTCACTGTCGGTATCAAACGACACAAAACAATATGTAGCATCCTCTTTCTTCATAATAAAATATGCTACTCCATTATAAACTGCACATTGATCAGAGTGCAAAACCATGGTCTTTATGGAAGCAGGAATCGCATCAATCCTCTTCCAAGAGTTTGTGCTCAAACTATAAACCTCCACTTCAATGCAGTGATTCCCCTCAGAAAACGAGAGCAACCTTACCACCCTGTAGTCGTTAAGCCCGGGGTGGAATCCGAATGCAACATAAGTGACATATTCAGGACAGGGTAAGCACAAAATGCTGGTGGGAGGAAGGACCACATGTTTCTGAATTGATAGGTTGCATAGGTATATAGCAGTATCCAAATTCCCCAGTTCATATGACAGACAAACTAAGCCATTACTTGAACCATGTATGTCAATTTTGGGCCCTATAATTTTGGGCCATGTTGAGGGATGCTTAATCTTCAAGCACGGCTCAAATGTTTCATTAGAGAAAAGGGTGTAGCAAAATTTGGGTTTGCGTCTACTTTCGTGGAGGGCAATTATAAAAGCATGAGCATGGTTTGTGACATTCCTATTAAGATGCATTCCAATAAACCTCGAGCTTCGAATCAAAGAACTCCATAACTTGCATACACAAATAAACCGAATAAGGGATTTTACCGGTAGTCTTGATAGTATGTTGATCAAGATTTCGTCAGGGATGTAATGGGAACCATTGCAGCCTGAGTTACTCATCCTGATCAAATAGATCAAAATGAGAGGTTAGAAATGCGCACACAAATCATGGAACAAATTCTAGACAGTTATGCAATCACATGAAAATAACACATTCATTCCAAAAAATGAGAAACCCTACATCTACAGGAAGCAAACCCTTACCTGAACGGGCTCCCTGAGAAGCTTGGCTGTGCCGACTACCCGCAGTAAAAAATGAAGGAAGAATATATAGGGGAGAAGAGAGATGAATCATAAAAAACCCTCGTTGGCATTAACTCCCAACCGTTGGATGAGATTCCAGGGATGCAACGTGAAACCGCTTCTTTTTTTTATTGGGCCTTGGCCATTAGATTCAAAGTCACCTCTAGGTAAATTACCCACAAAAAAGAGAGAGAAAAAAAAGGCGGTGAGTTTGTTACAACTTAGAGTATTCACAGTGGGGGATGTAAATTCGGGAGTGTAAAACCACTTTTACATCCCCTTTACATCTCTGGGGGGTGTAAATATGTTTTTTGCTCCAATGGGGGAGTGTAAATTCGGGGGTGTAGCCGTGGGTCCCAACATTTTATGTTGACTTTTCTTCATTTTTCTTCTCTTTTCTCGGGTGGGTCCCGCCTGCAAGGGATGTAAAAATATATGTAAATATACATTTTATTTTACATCCCCATGATGGTGATGTATATTTACATCCATTTGCATCTCCTCATTGAAGACAATTTCGGTGACTCGAGGTGTATATTTAACATACACCCCTATATACACCTCCCCACTGTGGATGCTTTTACATGGCTATCTTTCCATGATGGTGGGAAAGGCTTGGAGAGTAGTGGAATGCTTGGGTTCCTATATTGTTAGTTTAGTGGTTCAATTTCATTTTAAATTAGATTTCCATGAATAAAAATGTTAATTATTATTGTATGTACGATATTTTCTTTTTAAATTGAGCTACAAGGTCCTCACACGATATTGCATCTGTATATATAAATCAAAATGTAGAGAATGATGAAATATTCAAAATACCGAAAAATGCCTTGGTTAATACAAACATTAAGAATTGAAATTATTAATTAAATAAACATAATATGATAAATTCACACTTTTTTATATTTAAAAAAAATTAAAATAAAACCAAAATCAGATAATGGGTCCTATTTTTATGAAACACAATTACCCATTATCTTTTTTAATTCTAAAATAAATAATATAAAAAAATAAAATCAATTGGCACACGCTCACAGGTGTGTGCCAAGGGGCTAGTATTATATAAGCATCGATCACAACATGGTAAATTAGTGATTTACATTCATGCATTGTTCATACAATGTGCACCAACCCGTATAAAGAAATTGTCGATAAATTTGTTTATATTAATGGGCTTAGCATAAATTTCTTCCTATATAAATGGTGTCACATAATTTCAACCGAAAAAAAAGGTGTCACATAAAAGTTTGGGCCACATAAAGAAAGTGTCCATGCATTCCATAATATTTGAGAAAATTTCTTGATTTTGGGTTATATTGAAAGGACCAAACTCTTGATTCTAGTCCTAAGTTCCTAACCTACCTCCATCTCCACTTGAGCTAGCTAATTCCAAGAATATATGAATTCTTTCTTTTCTGCAAGAAAAGGTACAATAAAAATAAAATTCAAAATAAACCCCCTTTTCTTTTGTATCACTAAATGAACTTTTGGTGATGCTTTATTTTAGGATGCCAATTGAATTACTTCCACATGACTCATTCACACAGCTCTGTGTATTTTAATGCTTCCTTGGACTCTAAATTTTCTAAATAATTTTTCTTATGATTTTCTCTTCGTGAGATGGCATCCACCACATTACGCAAGAAAGAAATCTTAACAGACATCCTAGTTAAACTACCTGCAAAAACCCTTGTTCGGTTTCTGTGTGCATGCAAGTCATGGAGTGATTTGATTAACAGCTCGAGTTTTATCACCACACAGCTTAACAGGAATGTCACCAAACACCTCCATGTCTCTCTACTTTGCCTCCACTATCTCGATCTCAAACGTCCTTTTGAGTTCTACGAAAACTACGAGGATTACCCAGATCTTAAACGAGAATTGGAATGGTCACTTTTCTCCAACGAATCTTTTGAGCATTGCTTCAAGTTAAACCATCCCTTGGGGATCAAGAAAGATTATAGGGTATATGGCTCAAGCAATGGCCTAGTTTGCATTTCAGATAACAAATTGGACACCAAGAACCCTATACACATATGGAACCCCTCGGTTAGGAAATTTAGAACCCTTCCAATGAGCACCAACCACAACATTAAATTTTGCTACATTGCTCTCCAATTCGGGTTTGTTAAAGTATAAGTGTGTTAGTTGAGTATTTGTATTGAATTAATTGTGAACCATTGGATCACAGTCCAATGGACATCTAAGATGTACCCTTAGTTGTAGTAATGAATTGTGCCAAGTGTAGCTATCTCATAGGATAGTGAAATTGATGGCTAGATTTGAATGATGTAAATGGGAATATTCTATTCCCAACAGATATATTTTGTTGCACAGCTGGTGCGTGACTAAGTGAGAGAATAGACCCAATTTTCTCATCTTCCTCTCCAAGCTCTCTCTCTGTTTTCTCTTCTTACCTGAGCTCCTTCTACTAATAATCCAAATAAATCATATCATAGTCTAAGTATGCTAACATGACCTCAAAGCTAGGTTCGATTGTTTAAGCTGGGCGTTTGAATTTGTGAAGAAAGTGAGCTATGTTTTTTTGATGACCTTGCTTTCTTGGAGATCTGTGTCTAACATGGCAGGGTCTGGAGATGGTGAGCTGCGAGCTCCGATCTTCAATGGTGAGAACTATGAGTTATGGAGCATAAGAATGAAAACTATTTTCAAATCTCATGGGTTATGGGAACTTGTTGAGAAAGGGATAGAGAGCTCAGATTCGAAGGGAGCCAATGAATCTGATGCGAAGAAGAAAGAAAAAGAGGAATTAAGTGGTGCTGGGAAGATGATTCTCATTGAGATCCTGATGAAAGATGCTAAGGATTTAGGGCTGATTTAGGGAGTAGTTTCTGATGAGATCTTCCTTGGATTTCTCATGAAGAATCGTCTTAAGAGGCTTGGAATATCCTGAAGCAGGAATTTCATGGTGATAAGCAGGTAAGGAGTGTCAAGTTACAAAGTCTCCATAGAGAATTTGAATATACTAGAATGAGAGAGGATGAATCATTATCTACTTATCTTACAAAATTGTTTGATCTGATAAATCAAATGAGAGGCTATGGAGAAGAGTTGTCTAGAGAAAGAATTGTGCAGAAAATGTTAATTAGTCTGTTGCCTGTGTATGATCCGATTTGTTCTGTAATTGAGCATTCGAGGGATCTAGAAGCAATTGAGGTTCAAGAGGTGGTTGCCTCATTGAAGAGCTTTGCACAAAGGTTGGAGAGACGTCATGAGAACAAGACTGAGAAGGCTTTTGCTAGTCTGAGTGTAGATTCCAAATCAGCTAAGGTCACTAGAAATCAGAATAGCAAGCATCAGAATAATTAGAAGGATAAGGGCAAAAAGTGGGATAACAAACCCACTGATGGAGCTAAAAAATTCTTGCAAACATTGTGGGAAATTGCATTTTGGAGAGTGTCGATTCAAGGGCAAACCGAAATGCTATAACTGTGACAAGTTTGGACACATTGCAAAAGACTGCTACAGTAAGAAACCTGTGCAGCAACAGCTCCAGTATGCTACTCAGGTAACCTCTACACCAACTATGTTCTATGTCAATAATGCAGCTGACAAAAGGTCCATGGAAGATGTATGGTATTTGGACAGTGGTTGTAGTAACCATATGACTGGCAGAGAAGATGTTTTGACTGATATTGATAGGAGTATAACAACAAAAGTTGCAATGGGGACAGGACAGTTGGTCGATGTTATTGGAAAAGGAAGCTTGATGGTTGAAACTAAGATGGGAAAAAGATATATGTGAAGACCCGTTTTTAAATAAATAAATAAATATATATATATATTTGCTGCCTATTTAGTTATATATTTAAATTGATTATATATATTGTTGTTTTACCATTTTAATAATTATATGTATTTTATTATATTAAATATGTATAAGAATCTGATTTTGTGTCTAAAGACATTCGAACTAAGATTATAACTGGAGAGACACCACATGGATGGAATGTCCACACATATGGTAGATTAAGATATTTAGATTGTATGTATAAATTTCTGGTCTAAGAAAGGAAGTTTTGAAAGGAGGACATCATTCGTCTTATACAATTCATCCTGGAGGGACAAAGATGTATCATGACCTGAAACGTAACTTTTGGTGGAGTGGCATGAAGGGAGATATAGAAAAATTTGTACCAAAGTGTCTTACATGTTAGCCAGTGAAAGCTGAACATCAGAAACCGCTAGGTCCATTACAGTCATTACCAATAGCAGAGTGGAAATGGGATCATATAACCATGGATTTTGTTACAGGTTTACCTAGATCTCGAAAGGGACGAGATGCAGTATGGGTTATAGTGGATCGTTTGACCAAATTTGCACATTTCATACCAGTCAAAACAACATATTCTATTGAAAGTCTTCGAGAGCTTTACATTCGAGAGATAGTAAGATTGCATGAAATTCCTATTTTTGATTGTATCATATAGGGATTCCAAGTTTACTTCTAAATTTTGGGGAAGCTTATAGAAAGCGTTAGGTATGCAACTAAATTTCAGTACTACTTTTTATCCCTCACTCTGTTTAATTTTTTCAGATGAATTAGTGGGCAAGACAAGGACTAAACTAGTTGAGGCTGAATTAGATGAGAGTGTTCGAGCTATTTTTATTGTAAAGTTGTAAGATTTGGATCTATTTTTTTTTTTATAAGAGAAGTTTATTTTAAACTCATGTTTCGGCATTCTATTTATTTTGTTTTACTTTTTATTTTCTCACGCGCCGGGCGCGGGGTTTCCTCCGACCAGGGCGTGACAATATATTAAGGAGGTGCTGTTAGTATCTGGTCTCAAGGAAAACCTACTCAGTGTTGGACAGATGATGGAGCATGGATATTTCCTGATTTTTGGAGATAACAAGGCAGAAATTTATGATGATTGCTCACTCTCTAATCTGGTGGCCAGGGTGTAAATGAAGGGAAATAGAAGTTTTCCTTTGAAACTTCAAACTGATTTACATTTTACATTAAAAGCAAGTATAAGTCAATCAACATTGATTTGGCATAGGAGAATGGGACACTTAAATTTCCAAAGCCTGAAATTACTGCAGAACGAGGATATGGTTCTTGGTGTGCCAGAAATTAAGAACACAAGTGAAGTGTGTGAGGGGTGCACTTTTGGAAAACATTGCAGGAAGTCTTTTCCAAAAGAAGCAACCAGCAGGGTCCCAACTCCATTAGAATTGGTACACACTGATGTGTGTGGACCAATGCAAACTATTACAAAAGCAGGAAACATGTATTTTCTTACCTTTATAGATGACTGTACTCAAATGTGCTAGATCTATTTCTTGAGATACAAATCTGAGGTATTAACTGTGTTTAAGAAGTTTAAGGTTACTGTTGAATTGTAAAGTGGTTATAAGCTTAAGAAATTGAGAAGTGACAGAGGAGGAGAGTATACCTCTAATGAGTTTAATAGATTTTGTGATGAAATGAGGATGGAGAGGCAGCTTACAGTGGCATATTCACCACAACAGAATGGTGTGGCTGAGAAAAAGAAGAAAACCATAGTGGAGATGGCTAAGTGTATGATGTTTGAGAAGAGTATGCCACTTAAGTTTTGGGCAGAAGCTGTTAATGTTGCAGTGTATATTCTAAATCGATGTCCAACTAAAGCTTTGGACAAGAAAACGCCATTTGAAGCCTATAGTGGAAGAAAGCCATGACTTAAACACTTAAGAGTGTTTGGTTCTCTGTGCTATGCACATGTTCCAAACCAACAGAGGCAAAAACTGGACTTGGCAAGCAAAATGTGTGTGTTTCTAGGATATGGTAGTTGTGAGAAGGGGTATATACTGTATAATATTACCACTGGAAAGGTGATTATCTCAAGAGATGTGGTATGCAATGAAGATGCTAGCTTGGATTAAAATGCACAGCAAGAATGCAGTGTGTCCATTCCACTTACCGAAATGGTGTTTGAAAAGGAGAAAGGGATTAATGACACAGCTATGATGCAAGCAGAAAACTCAGTTGAAAATGATGTGTTATTAGAAGACAATGAAGAAGAATCTGCAGTTGACACATGTGCACATGATATTGATCAAACTCCATTGAAATACAAAAGTCTTACAGAGGTATATGAGAGATGCAATATATGTATTATTGAACCAGAAACTTTTGAAGAAGCTATCAAAGATGCATTATGGAAAAAGGCCATGGAAACTGAGCTTGAGATGATTGAGAAGAATGATACTTGGGAATTGGTAAAAAGGCCGTCTGAAAAGCCTGTAGTTGGAGTCAAATAGATCTATAAAGTCAAGCTAAATCTTGATGGGTCAGTTCAGAAAAATAAAGCAAGACTTGTAGCTAAAGGCTACACTCAAAAGCCTGGAATAGACTTCAACGAGACATTTACACCAATTGCTCGACTTGATACAGTTAGAACATTAATTGCTTTAGTTGCTCAGAAAAGGTGGAAGCTATTCTAATTCGATGTGAAGTCAGCATTCTTAATTGGAGTGCTACATGAGGAAGTGTATGTGGACCAACCACCAGGATTTGGGATTAAAAACAAGGAAGATAGAGTTTATAGACTTAAGAAGGCCTTGTATGGTCTTAAACAAGCTCCAAGAGCTTGGTATAAAGAAATCAACTCATATTTCATAGCTGCAGGATTTCAGAGAAGTCCTAATGAGGCTACATTATATGTGAAAACTGCATAAAGTGGAATCCTCATAGTTTCACTATATGTAGATGATATCATCTACACATGAAGTTCTGAAGAATTGGTGATGAGTTTTAAAACTGAAATGATGAAGAAATATGAAATGACTGATCTCAGATTATTGCACCATTTTTTGGGTTTAGGTGTGATACAAGCTGAGTCCTACATCTTCTTGCATCAGAAAAAATATGCAAGAACATTATTGGACAAGTTTGGTTTCAAAGATTGTAAAGCGGTTGCAACTCCACTTGCTATGAATGAGAAATTATCAAAGAAGGATGGAAGTGAACAGGCTGATGAAAAGGTGTACAGACAGATAGTTGGAAGCTTATTGTATCTAACAACAACAAGGCTAGATATCATGTTTGCTGCAAGTCTCTTAGCTAGATATATGCATGGACCTACAAGGAAGCATATGGGGACTGCCAAGAGAGTACTTAGATACATTCAAGGTACTCTTGACTATGGCATAGCATATGAGAAGGGAAAAGAAGCAATGCTTGTTGGATATTGTGATAGTGATTGGTCAGGATGTGAAGATGATATGAGGAGTACTTCTGGCTATGCTTTCCATCTTGGATCAGGTGTTTTCTCTTGGGCATCAGTCAAGCAAAGCAGTGTAGCTCTATCCACAGCAGAGGATATATTAGTGTAGCAGAAGCTACAGCACAAGCAGTCTGGCTGTGGTTTGTTCTATCTGATTTTGGTGAGGAACAAGTTGAAGCTACCCAAATTTTCTGTGATAACACTTCAGCAATAGCAATAACAAAGAATCCAGTACATCATGACAAGACAAGGCATATAAACAGAAGATTTCATTTCATCCGTGATGCTTTGCAAAATGGTGAGATTGATTTGTTATACTGCAAAACTGGAGAGCAGAATGCAGATATCTTTACTAAGGCGTTGGCAAGGGATTGGTTTGAATATCTAAGGAGCAAGCTTGGAGTCATTTTAGCTAAAGACATAGAAGGGAGTGTTAAAGTATACGTGTGTTAGCTGAGTATTTGTATTGCATTAATTGTGAACCATTGGATCACAGTCCAATGGACAGCTAAGATGTACCCTTAGTTGTAGTAATGAATTGTGGCACGTGTAGCTATCTCATAGGATAGTGAAATTGATGGCTAGATTTGAATGGTGTAAATGGGAATATTCTATTCCCAATAGATATATTTTGCTGCACAGCTTGTGTGTGACTAAGTGAGAGAATAGACCCAATTTTCTCATCTTCCTCTCCAAGCTCTCTCTCTATTTTCTCTTCTTACCTGAGCTCATTCTACCAATAATCCAAATAAATCAGATCATAGTATGAGTATTCTAACTGGGTTCCACCCTAGGGTTAACGACTAGAAGGTTGTAAGGATGTTGCGTGTCCACAAAGACAATGTTTTCGCGGTCGAAGTTTATAGTCTCGGCACAAACTCTTGGAAGATGGTTGAAGAACATCCTCTTTGGTTAAAATGCACTTGGCAGAACCATAGAGGTACATTTTATAATGGAGTAGCATACCACATTATCGAGAAATTTCCTCTATTCAGCATTATGTCATTCAATTTGGGCAGCGTAAAATTCGAAGAGTTCATAGCACCATATGCCATTAGATGTTGGTCGCGGCTGTATATTGAGGTTTACAAGGATCTAATTTGCTTGCTTTATTATTTGAGATTGTTTCATTGTGAGGAAGAAGGCATGTCACAAATTGAGTTTTGGGTTCTGCAAGAAAAACAATGGAAAGAAATGCATCCTTTTATTTATCCTTCCAACTACTACTTCGTAGTCGGGTTTAGTATAGATAATGAACTATTAATGGAGAGAAGCAATTATGGTAATGCTCTGTATTTGTGCAACTATGAATCGAAGCAAGATTGTGAGACCGGGATTGAGTTGGCCATCTTGAGAAATGACCCTAAGCAGCTCTTGTTTGTATTTACCTACATAGAAAGTTTGATTTTACTCAATTGTTAATTGGTGAAGAGATGTGTAACTTCTGGCACGACCAGTTGGAGTTGGATTATACATATCTAGAATATTGGAGGGTTTGTAGTCTAATTTGAAAATATCCATACTTTAATTAAGTCATATCAAGACTATCTTCGATTGTTTGCTAACAAGATGATAAAGACAATATTGACATCACATCGAGATGATATAATGAGACTATCTGTGATATAATCGTGGTATATGAGAGCATTCCAAACATTAAAGAAAGGGGTATCACTACAATAAATAGTTTTCAGGGCAGGTTATGAGGAGCAATATTGGCATCCGAAAATAAAGCATCACCACATAACAATGAGAAAGCAATCAACAACAATAAATCTGAAGAACAACCATGTGGATAAATATGGGCATTTTGGTGACATTCGTACTAAGTAAGATGTATGATATATATATATATATATATATATATATATATATATATATATATATATATATATATATATATATATATATATATATATATATATATATATATATATCATACATCTTACTTAGTACGAATGTCACCAAAATGCCCATATTTATCCACATGGTTGTTCTTCAGATTTATTGTTGTTGATTGCTTTCTCATTGTTATGTGGTGATGCTTTATTTTCGGATGCCAATATTGCTCCTCATAACCTGCCCTGAAAACTATTTATTGTAGTGATACCCCTTTCTTTAATGTTTGGAATGCTCTCATATACCACGATTATATCACAGATAGTCTCATTATATCATCTCGATGTGATGTCAATATTGTCTTTATCATCTTGTTAGCAAACAATCGAAGATAGTCTTGATATGACTTAATTAAAGTATGGATATTTTCAAATTAGACTACAAACCCTCCAATATTCTAGATATGTATAATCCAACTCCAACTGGTCGTGCCAGAAGTTACACATCTCTTCACCAATTAACAATTGAGTAAAATCAAACTTTCTATGTAGGTAAATACAAACAAGAGCTGCTTAGGGTCATTTCTCAAGATGGCCAACTCAATCCCGGTCTCACAATCTTGCTTCGATTCATAGTTGCACAAATACAGAGCATTACCATAATTGCTTCTCTCCATTAATAGTTCATTATCTATACTAAACCCGACTACGAAGTAGTAGTTGGAAGGATAAATAAAAGGATGCATTTCTTTCCATTGTTTTTCTTGCAGAACCCAAAACTCAATTTGTGACATGCCTTCTTCCTCACAATGAAACAATCTCAAATAATAAAGCAAGCAAATTAGATCCTTGTAAACCTCAATATACAGCCGCGACCAACATCTAATGGCATATGGTGCTATGAACTCTTCGAATTTTACGCTGCCCAAATTGAATGACATAATGCTGAATAGAGGAAATTTCTCGATAATGTGGTATGCTACTCCATTATAAAATGTACCTCTATGGTTCTGCCAAGTGCATTTTAACCAAAGAGGATGTTCTTCAACCATCTTCCAAGAGTTTGTGCCGAGACTATAAACTTCGACCGCGAAAACATTGTCTTTGTGGACACGCAACATCCTTACAACCTTCTAGTCGTTAACCCTAGGGTGGAACCCAGTTAGAATACTCATACTATGATCTGATTTATTTGGATTATTGGTAGAATGAGCTCAGGTAAGAAGAGAAAATAGAGAGAGAGCTTGGAGAGGAAGATGAGAAAATTGGGTCTATTCTCTCACTTAGTCACACACAAGCTGTGCAGCAAAATATATCTATTGGGAATAGAATATTCCCATTTACACCATTCAAATCTAGCCATCAATTTCACTATCCTATGAGATAGCTACACGTGCCACAATTCATTACTACAACTAAGGGTACATCTTAGCTGTCCATTGGACTGTGATCCAATGGTTCACAATTAATGCAATACAAATACTCAGCTAACACACGTATACTTTAACACTCCCTTCTATGTCTTTAGCTAAAATGACTCCAAGCTTGCTCCTTAGATATTCAAACCAATCCCTTGCCAACGCCTTAGTAAAGATATCTGCATTCTGCTCTCCAGTTTTGCAGTATAACAAATCAATCTCACCATTTTGCAAAGCATCACGGATGAAATGAAATCTTCTGTTTATATGCCTTGTCTTGTCATGATGTACTGGATTCTTTGTTATTGCTATTGCTGAAGTGTTATCACAGAAAATTTGGGTAGCTTCAACTTGTTCCTCACCAAAATCAGATAGAACAAACCACAGCCAGACTGCTTGTGCTGTAGCTTCTGCTACACTAATATATCCTCTGCTGTGGATAGAGCTACACTGCTTTGCTTGACTGATGCCCAAGAGAAAACACCTGATCCAAGATGGAAAGCATAGCCAGAAGTACTCCTCATATCATCTTCACATCCTGACCAATCACTATCACAATATCCAACAAGCATTGCTTCTTTTCCCTTCTCATATGCTATGCCATAGTCAAGAGTACCTTGAATGTATCTAAGTACTCTCTTGGCAGTCCCCATATGCTTCCTTGTAGGTCCATGCATATATCTAGCTAAGAGACTTGCAGCAAACATGATATCTGGCCTTGTTGCTGTCATATATAATAAGCTTCCAACTATCTGTCTATACACCCTTTCATCAACTTGTTCACTTCCATCCTCCTTTGATAATTTCTCATTCATAGCAAGTGGAATTGCAACCGCTTTACAATCTTTGAAACCAAACTTGTCCAATCATGTTCTTGCATATTTTTTCTGATGCAAGAAGATGTAGGACTCAGCTTGTATCACACCTAAACCCAAAAAATGGTGCAATAATCTGAGATCAGTCATTTCATATTTCTTCATCATTTCAGTTTTAAAACTCATCACCAATTCTTCAGAACTTCATGTGTAGATGATATCATCTACATATAGTGAAACTATGAGGATTCCACTTTATGCAGTTTTCACATATAATGTAGCCTCATTAGGACTTCTCTGAAATCCTGCAGCTATGAAATATGAGTTGATTTCTTTATACCAAGCTCTTGGAGCTTGTTTAAGACCATACAAGGCCTTCTT